GCGTGAGATTAAGGAGTTCCTGCTCATGTTTGAGGATTTGTTCTTGAAATCGCACATCTTTGTCCTTCACCACAGCCTGCAGAATTCGCACCTGGATGACGTGAGAGGTCTGAGATTAGTTTATTACAGAAATAAAACAGTACCTGCAAAAGAACTGACCATCATATGACACATTTAAAGATTTGAACGACATAAGCACTTATTCATGTGCTTGAATAATTTGACCTGTGAACATACCTGCTCTGCATGACCTTCCTCTCTCACGCGCTGTTCGGCCTCCCAGAGCTGATGTTGGAGGTTCTTGTTAGCGGACTCTGCCTGGCTGAGCTTTTCTTTCAGCTGCTGGAGTTCCTCCTCCACTCCTGGAGCCATTTGGAAGGAGCTCTCTGAATTCTAAAAAAACAGTTCATTATCATACTGCCGTACTGAAAAGTTTAATGAATTTGGCAATCGCCCATATATAGATGAACAATAGAATACACCACTAATTATATTAAGCCATCCAAGACCACTTCATGCTTAAAATAACACAAATATGTCAGCTTGTCTCTTTACCTGACTGCTGTTCAATGCTTCTTGTCCTTTCAGCTCATTGAGCCGTTTGTTCAGGGCAGCCATCTTGGCTTTGGCCTGCAGTTTAAGCTTTGTAAACTTGACTTCTGCCTGTTCTTTCTCTTCCTGTATGAGAACAAACAGTCACAAATGCAAAAATCAAGCTTCAGACCTGCTGACATTCATGGTCTACTTGTTTTTTCTTTTCTAATTATACAAGTCCACACCTTGAGCTGTTTTTCAGTGCTGGCGAGCTGGCTGTCCTTCTCTCGAATCAGCTCCTTCAGCTGAACCACCAGCTGTTCGGTCTGGGCCAGCCTCTCCAGGACCTCTTCTGAGGTCCCCGAGTCCTCCAGGGATGCTTCCGCATCAGGCTGGGACTGAGGTACCGGACCATCCTGCTCCAAAGGCAACATTCCAAAATCATAGAGGGCCCTATAGATGGTTAATCACTCCCCCCCAACCGCATGTTAATATTATATCAACTTGAATATTAAATTCACCCTATTTTTCAAATGCGTGTTTAGATCTTATTGTGAACAATTCATCCATGTATGCGTTTCATTCAACACAATCTCATGGCAATTCATAACTATATTATGTTCTGGCGAATTGCAAATAGATTGCAAGCTCTCATTATTTTTGAGTGCAACGCCCACATCTCAAAATCCAATCAAAAACTGATGAATAGAACCAAGTTAGCAGCACCCTACATTTTTTTTTTGTTAAAAGAATAGCAGAGTCTATAAAACAACTAGGCCTATAACAATAACAGCACAGACAACGATATCATTGGAATCACTTTCAGAATGATTTTTTTCCAGCTGATGAAAGATAAAAACCAATCAAAATCCATCCGGCTATAAAGAGCTGCATTCTCGACAAAAATGCAGCAAATACTTACAATAAACAGGCTGTTATTATGCGTTAGTGTGGATCCTAATATAGTTATCTTTACAGTTATCGTTCTTGGTGTGAATGGGCCTTGAGAATAAGACAAGCATTAGTAGACAAACAAGAACAGTGCTAATTTAACACCAGTTGATATTTAAGTTGTAATGAAATGGAAGTAGCTTCCATATTGTGACATATCTGAGTTTAACGGGTTAAATTTAGATTGACTAAATATTTATTGTTATAGTTATTGTCTTTGGAGTGAATGGGGCTTTAGTGACCCATTTTAAGATGGTAAACGGCTTGTAAACTAACTCATAAATCTGTAAATAAGTACTTAAATGTGGGCTATTATCAGATCTTTCAGCTCTTGTAATAAGTTACTATAATTATTCGGGTAATTGCAATGTCCATGTGTGTTCCACAAAGTTTCTTGGTATCAAACCAAAATATCACTCCAAGGATAGTTCAGATTTTGTCTACTCACCTGGAGGTCTCCATCGGAGCGTTCCTCACCCGAGAGCTCCTGGAGGACAGAAGACACCCCTTGGGTCAGCCGGCTAAACATGGCTGACCTGCATGTAAAGATATATGCAATAAAATGTTAGTGCACAGTTTGAGTATTTTATAATCAAGCTCTGTATTGTGTGCATTACTGACACAAGTAAAGATAAACCAGAATCACATAAAGTCAGATAAAGACTGCAATAACAACAGATCTAGACTTCCCATCTGGCCCAATTCACACTTATGCACAACAACATCAATAGTTTAACATTTAACCAATACATTACAACAGATTTAATGAAAATTTTAATTTTAGTGTTCCACGAGAGCAGAGCTTTGGTGAAACTTGACCACGCAAGCTAAAAAGCCTAACATCAGGCATCCAACAACTAGTAATACAACCATGGGAATTATTCAAATCAAATTCACACCTTTGAAATACCATATGGCCTCTCTAAATTAAATGGCACTCACTATTAATTTACAGTTTGGCATTCAGTTTATATAAATATAACAGTTCTGTATCACGCCTCTATTGCATTACACCACACTAATAAATCAAATGCATATATTGCATAAAGGAAAAGATGTTACAGTTTGGTTAGTCTATATACTTGTTGTAATTCTCACAGATTATGACGGGACAAAGACTGTAAGTACATCACATGCATAACTCAAAATACATAATGCATAACTAGAACACTTGATGAGCTCAAGTCTGTTACGCAATGTGTGTCCCCTGTACTGACAATATCTACAGAGGTCGTGAACGCCTGCATAACAGTAACAATATCCCTCAATATTTCCTGATAATAAATACCCACCTTTGACAGAGCCATAAATCGGAGAAAAACGAACAGAACCGAACAACGCCGAACCCGAAAAACTGACGACTGCGGCTGCGTCGCTTTCATTTTGTCTACACAACAGCAAAGATTATTGAGCGACTCTTCTTCCTTGCGTTTTAAAGTCGATTGGTATAAGAACACATGGTCGAGACACATAAAGGTATGGCTTTTATTTATTTATATTTGTTATAAACTGGCATTATTAAAGCCCAATGAGCGACAGTAATGAGCGCAAGCTGTAACTGGGCTCGTGCTGATGACTCGTAAACAACTCTATCGATATTTATAAATGTACTTGTGTTTGTGCATGTCAGCGGCTGGATACATTTAGAGGCATCTTGTTAATGTTATTAAAGCATGAAACAGACCTGAGTAATCGGAGCAGGGAAGAGCTGCGTGGTTTATTTGATCAATTTCGTCTGCAGGATTTTAGAGCCACATCACCAAACATCCCGGAAACAGAAACGAAGCGCTGTGATTGGACCGCGCAAGGGAGCGTGTGAAAACTACTAGTGACTCTGAGAGCCGCATGACTTTACACCAAGGGACCGTCCACAAAAATAAAACGTAGACGCAAAATAAAGTAGGCATGGTCGTTTGCAAGAGATAATAGTAACCAGTTACAACAATTATTTTAGGTTTGGAGTTACATCATGGTTCAAAACACAATGGGACGACATGATTTAAAGCTTAACATGATTATTAATTATGGAAAACAGTTAGGACGCAGTCTCGTTCTTCTGGCACACTACATCACAGCGTTTGTAAGCTTTGTATCTCGTTCGGTGAACTGTTTTGCCGAAGTGATCAAGTGGACATCAGTGTTTGCCAGACACACGGTAGCGGCATTTGATTATATCCATAGGAGCCTACACTGGTGGACCAGAAGACGCAGTGGGACATCCATAGAGACGCTCTCTAGCAGCGAAACAGAGTCTGACTGATGAAGGACATAAAGTTTTCATGAACTCACAGATGTTCCTGGATCCTTAAATGGATTTATAGACTCCAAGGAGAACAATATCAATGCATTAGTGCATGCAGAATTTTGTAGTGTTTCTGTACTACTCAAGTTGAGTTTTTGTTCATTTCAAAGGGCTCATGAAAGCACTGAGGTCTAGAGGTTAAGGAAGAGTCCACCACTGTTATAACCACACCTGATAGACTGAAGACTGAACACAACACCTGTTTTTCAGGTCTAAACCAGTATTTTCCCGGAAGGAAACAATGAAGAAACGTTGGTTGAGTTCATAGTAGCTGGTTTTGCCTTGCAGTTAATTTTAAAGTGTTGTTTTCATTTTACTTTTATATTTTCTGTTTTAATTTGGCTTTTGTCATTTCAGGTAATGTTTATTAATTTCAAGTAATAATAATGTATATATATATATATATATATATATATATATAGTTTTAGTTAATGATAACAACTCTTGAGTTTAGTTCACTTCTATAGTGGTGAATGAGAGACGACAGCAGATATGATTTCCGCATTCCCATTTGCTCCAGTAGCAAAAGAAAGAATTCACAATAGGGTTTACATGATTTTTTATTTATTTTTGGATTAACAACACACTCACAGCTATTTTTATTTATTTATATATATATATATATATATATATATATATAGTGCAGATTTACAATGGTAGTAACTATGAAAACACGTCATCACAGACTGTGAAAAGGGTCCATTGAAGTTTTCCTATGGGCAGATTGTGACTGTGTGCCAGTACCCCATAGTCTGAAGCAAGCTTTGAATATAGTCTATATTATTACTTATCCAAAACATCATATTGACTGTTAAAGTGTTGAAATGTCTCTGTAATGGAAATCTCTGGAATCACAAGTCATTTCTTTACGTTTGATGTCTATACTAATCTTAATACCTCCTAATCTGTATCTTAAAACACTGTGTTCTGAGAACAAAGTACTGTCATGATCAACAAAATGCATTTTTAGAAACTTTCCAGAGAAGATGGAACAGATCTAGCAAGATTCACTTCGTTTAAGCCTATGAGAAAAGAGAAATAGACAGCATTTTGGATCTCTGAATGTTTTAATAGGCTTAATTTCTTGAGAACGCAAAAACTTTAAAACTAAAATTTTGTTCCATGTTATACCGACTATATGTTAGCTTTTGAATGATATCAACTATTACTATCTTATATAAATCGTGTAATATGGATGTGATGTGTGTAATTTGACAATCAAATGGTAACAAACTGAAAAATGTTTTTTTCATGTGAAGAATGTTCTTAACTGCATTATTTGGAATCAGCAAGATTGTGTATATCAATACGTAATTATTGTAAAGGCTTGTATGAAAATGTATGAAAAAAATATATCTGCTGAAGCTTGTTACCTTGGCATAAGAGGACTCAAAATTGTGACATGGCTACTAACATGTATTCATATGAATATTTATCAGCTAACAGTTTGAAAATAAATTTAGAAACAACTTGCATATGAGAAATGCTGATGCAGTTGCATCTGTTCGCAGGCCGTCACATGGGAACGTTTGTCAGCATGTCCCCAAGCTCACATGCAATTACCAATGGCCATCCCAGCCATGGTCATCCATAAGCCTCACATACACAGTGAGCTGGATTAGTCACAGTTAATATCAATGAGATAAAGTTGGTGAGGCGTGTCTGATCCCAGGCCAGTACAAAAGCCTCTCGAGGGTGCCCACCTCTCTCTTAGGTCCCAGTGTCATGTGTCTGTGAGAAGCGATACACTCGCCTGCACAGCAGACCAGTTGGGCTTCCTGACAGATTAGCTCCAGTCTTGCTCGCCAAAACAATCAGTTCTCAGTTCAGCGATGGGGAATTCAACGGGCTGCACCGTGGACGACCTGCAGGCTGTTGAAATGCATCTGTGGTATAAGAAGTTCATGACTGAGTGTCCATCTGGTCAGCTCACGCTGCATGAGTTCAAACAGTTCTTCGGGCTCAGAGGTCTGGATCCAGAGGCCAATGCCTACATCGAGCAGATGTTCCGCACTTTTGACATGAACAAGGTGAGTGAAAGACAAGTTCATTCTGAGGGGATAATAACAGTGGCTAAGGATGCCTCAAAGACAGTTTCAGCATAGCTGGAGTATTTGAAGTTTCAGTTTTTATTAAAACACTGGTTATAATATGCAGACTCATTACATTCGGTTACATCAGACTTGAAACTATGTTTGCTAATTTGATGTCAGACTGATTTATGCTGAATCTCTTTATTTCTAAGAAATATTTTTTTTTATTATTTCTAAGAAATTATTCAAATTTCTTTCAATAGCGGTCATGCACCAATATATTGGTCGAAAAATTCACCAATATGTGACCATTATGAGCTTATCATCAGCTTTGGTTGATAGCTATATACTGTTTAAAAGTTTGGGGTCAGTATGATTTTTTTTTTTTTTTCAAAATAAATTAATACTTTTTGCCTGCAAAGATGCATTAACTGATCAAAAAGACAGGAAAGATTTTCACAATGTTACAAAAGGGGGGGGGGGGGGCCAAATTTTGGGGGGGGGTCACAATTTGTAAAATATACTAAATATAGAAAACAATAATTAAAAATTATAATTCACATTATTTAACTTGTATTTCAAGATATTACTGATTATTATATCTTCATCAAATAAATGCAATCTTGGTGATTAAGATACTATAAAAAAATCTTACAGACCCCAAACTTTTGAATAGTAAGCAAAATTTTGAATGGTGAGCAAAGCTCAGATCATACTTACCGTGTTGTCTGGCTCTATATTTATAGCGCTATATTTGGCATGTCAGCTTTTATAAACAGTGACTTGTGTTAATACAATGAATAATGAGCTTATCTATGAGATTAAGATTTACAGATTGTTGAACAGGTTTGAGATTGTATTATAGAAACCAATCCCATTCACGTGCAGTAACAACCGTTTTATTTCTCCAAGCCAAAACATGCTTTCATAATTGGGTCCCAGTGGGATTTTCGGCACAAAAACGGTTTCATGATGCTACTCTTATCTTGATACAAGATTCCCAGCATGTATTTCAGATATGTTCAGCTTAATTCTCCGATTTAATGAGTATGTCATTACCTCTGTGTTAAAGTCAACACGCTTCATCAAGCTAAATCTCTTCACTTTTCAGGGAAATCAATTAATAGGAAAATAGATCAAAATAAATAAATACAACAAATTAAACAGAAAATTATAACCCAATTGGTAATAATGGTGTAAAAATAAGCTTAAAATTTTGTTGGCTTTTTTTTTTTTGCATATGTGTATGTGTGTGTGTGTGTGTGTGTGTGTGTATATATATATATATATATATATATATATATATAGCTTTTAATCAATTAGTATTTTATGCTGTTGTTGCATAAAGCTAGTTAATACAATTTACTACTGTTACTATTTTTGGATGTCAGTTTTCACAACGCTTTTTATATGTGCTTTATATTTTGATTACAGCAAATTGTATAACAGTGGTTGTTTTGTTACATCTGACATTGTGACTGACATCTTTACTGTGTATCATAAATTGTTAAAGTGTAATATTTTCATAATGATCATTTTAATTTTCCATTCGTTTTTTTTACATTTTGAATTAATTTTTATCCATGATTACACATTTAATCATTTATAAGTGACAAAAATTTGCCCCCATATTATTGAGGCCTGCATTACAGAAATAACGTTTTTTTGTTTTTTTAAATCTTGGAAATAAAGATACATCTTTACTAATGTTAAGCTTTCCAGACTTTTACCCACTACTAATACCAGTAAAAGCATGTCTGATCAATTACTCATCAATTCAACTATGCAATATAGAATATCCAAATATCTCTACATTAACACACCTCAGCATTGCCTATGACCTTCTCCCTGACACTGCCCTAGACAGCTGGAATCTGTCACACAAAAGAGAGGTGATATTTGGAGGAAAGCGTGTTGACCTGAGGATTATGTCTGCGACAAGTGGCTGGTGTCAGTCTCACAGACGCTGACCTTGGAATTGGCAGTAATCCTCCAGAGGGCACCCTCATCACCCCGATCGTGACCCTCAACACCTCCATCACCTAAATAAGAGAACAACGGCATTCAGCTACTTTAGGATTCATTACAGACTAATGTGGGAACACATACTTAATATAAAACATTTGGCAACTTATTGAATATAAAACCGATAGTTCCAGATGTGCGTACTGCTTGGTAGACGGATCTCAAAGGTCACTTCTCTTTCATCAAACTTGGTTCCAGATGTATTTTAATCATTTCCTCACCACATAATCTTTAAATAAAAGTTCTAAGCCATAATAGATCAGACATAAAACAGTACATATGAAGTGTACTACATCAATTACAATGGTCTCAAGTGTTTAAAATGAATTGTTTCTGAAATGCGTTTGTCTCTTTTGCAGGACGGTTATATAGACTTCATGGAGTATGTGGCCGCTCTCAGTCTTGTAATGAGAGGCAAGATGGAGCACAAACTGCGCTGGTATTTCAGACTTTATGATGTTGATGGCAACGGCTGCATAGACAGACACGAGCTCCTCAATATCATAAAGGTAGGAATAACTGCACTAGATGGCTATGAAAAGAAAAGGTAAATTCATAATAAAAATGGTTTCTTTCACAGGCCATCCGTGCCATCAATGGAAGTGAGTCGCAGGAATTGAGTGCTGAGGAGTTCACAAACCGAGTGTTTGATAGGATTGACATCAATGGAGATGGTGAGTGCAATAACAATTGGAATAAGTTCTAATCTTAAGAACCATATTCAATCTTTAAAAGAGTATGATAATGATTTGCCTGTCCATAATCGCTAACCGTTCTCCATTCAACAGGGGAGCTGTCGCTGGAGGAGTTTGTAGCAGGGGCACGTAGTGATGAAGAATTTATGGAGGTGATGATGAAGAGTTTAGACCTTTCGCACATTGTGGCCATGATTCATAACCGGAGACGCAGCGTCTAAGAGACAGTCCACATTCAGATATGCCACGTATGGTTCTCCCTTAAGAGTCTCTTGATCAGAAAACAAGAGCAACACTCAACTGTCTAATTCTGAAAGCACTTTAAAGCACAAACAGTCACTTCAAACAGAGCTAAAGGGGCCAAGAAATGAAATTGGTGTGGGACGTCCCACAACTGTTTCCCAAAAACAGCCTTCTTGCTAAGCAGAAAGAGGCTTCATGGGAAAAGAATCAGTGTCAGTTTTATTTTTTGTTACTTTATTATTAACAAAAATATATATATTTTTAAAAATATATATATTTATGCATCACTTGTATTAGATGCCTCAGAGAAAGACATTTCTAAATATTTGACTAATAAGTGGATAACAAATACATTTGTTCAAAAGTTTGAGGCCCTCAAGGCTGCATAACTGGATTTAAAAAAACACATTAATAAAAACAGTAATATTGTGAAATATTATTGCAATTCAAATTAATGTTTTTGTTTGAATACATTTTAAAATGTGATTTATTCCTGTCATGTCAAAACTGAATTTTCAGCAGCCGATACTGCAGGCTTCAGTTTTATCATCAATGCTGAAAACAGTTATGCTGCTAAATATTTTCGAGAACATACAAAAGAACAGCATTTATTACAATTAGAAATCTTTTAAAGTCAGTTTGGATCGATTTAATGTATCCTTTCTCAAAATAAAACAAAATTTATTTTGAACAACAGTGTTTGTCCACTTTTGTAATTTAGTTTAAATAATTTTTTTATGAATGTTCAAGGTTAGTTGATATTTTTGGTACTATAAATGGTCACAATTGTTAATAATTCCATCTTTTTTAACTGCATTTTAAAATTATTCCCCAGTCTGATTTAGTGTCTCAATTAATATAAGGATAATAAAAATGACCTCATATTAATTGAATTTCATTTGTTAATACACATTTGTTAAAACAGTATTCAGTTAAGTATTCCACTGCATGTCAAACTCTGTAAAGTCAGGAATGTTTACTTCTTTATAGATATATGCATACTATATTTACTAATATTACATATTTTCTTAGCCTCTGCAGGGTTTAAGAATGAAATTGGCTTGTTCTGTATTCGCATAGACATGTTACAAGGGTGCCTTCTGTTGTAGGACTACAGGGCCTACTTTAAGCTTGTTAATGAAATGCTTGTGCTTCCATTTGGACATTAAAAACATCATAACTGAAACTGTTATAAGTTCATGCATGTATTAACTAACAGCCAACACCAAAATGACCCTTTGCCCTTGTGTCTCTAGCCTCCATCTTCCATTCAAACTACATCAGTGTGTGAGAAAACACACACTGATGTAGTTTGAATGGAAGATGGAGGCTAGAGACACAAGGGCAAACTACATCAGTGTGTGAGAAAACACACAAGTCACATTTGGAGCCTTTTTAAACTGTGGTCCCTCAGTTTCTATGACAACACCAATCTGTTACTATGGAGACCTTGTGAGTCAGACGCAGCATCAGTAACCTCTGAAAAGCTGAATTAACAGACCGCGATAATGAAAGCCTAAATTTCAATGAATCACTTACACTCCATTGCACACACTGCTCCTTTCTCCCAGATCCTCATTAAGTGGTTGTTCTGGGTTGTGTTTGTCTTCATCTGAGAGGGTGATTGGTATGGTATTCATGCCAGCTTTGCCATCTTGTTGCAAAAGGATAAGGAGATCAGTCCTCTGAGCTGAGCTACTCTTCTGCAAAGGAGCCAAATAACACAAAACATATTTGTAATATCTCACTCATTTAAATGTGGTTGAACGGACATGTGCAACTGTGATATTACCATGAAGCCCGGGAGGGATGTTTTGCCAGCCATCATGCTGCAAAAACACTGCAAGAACATGGGAATAACGCCTAATACATATAAATGAATTATTGTTGAATACAGTCAATTAGTATTAAAGCTTGTACCTGTCCCTGGTACACTCTGATTTTTAATACACTTTGAGCAGAGCACACATATTATGATGCACCAAACTACCTTAACCTTTTTATTTCAAAGTTTGGGGTCAGTGAGATTTTTTTAATTAATAGTTTCCTTGAGCAAGGATGCTTTAAATTGATCAACCATGCTAATCTTATAATGTAAATGCATAATAATTATATAATAATGTACAAATGACTTCTATTTTAAATAAATGCTATTTCTTTAACATTCTGTTCATCCATAAAGAATGGCTGCTGACAATTCAGCTTTGACATCACTAGAATAAATTACGTTTTAAGAACGAATAAAACTCATTTTAAGTGGTAATAATATTTCACATTATTACTGTTTTTACTGTAATTTTAGTCAAATAAATGCAGCCATCGTAAGCATAAGACTTCTTTCAAAAACATTAAACCACAAAATTTTGGAAGGTAGTGTATGAAAAATAAACTGGACCCATTATTAAGTGTATTACAAACTATACAGTATTTATTAGACCAATATTAAGTTGTGTCACATGTTAACACAACAAACCCATCAAATCTCCCTTTGAGGAAAGAGTCTAATGTATAAACTGAGTATTTTCCCATGGTGATATCTGATTGGACTAATAAATGCAGGAATTTCCTGTAACACAATTTATCTGGCAGTCCATTCACGTCCATAATTCCAAGTGATGTGATTTTGTCCGCTTAGATGCCTGGTTCATGCCCTCTCAAGAGGATCACAGGAAGTCGTACAGATACTTCACATCAAAGCCTATGGTTCTAGAATAAAAAAAACACATAATAGTCAACAAGCTAGCACACTACAACGTAATGGTCGGTAAATGTAATCAAAGACACTGTTTACACCTGGAATTAACTTTAATTTAGGTAATATGATCTTGTGCTGTCAAACGATTAAATCGCATCCAAAATAAACATTTTTATTTACATAATATTTGCATGTGTACTGTGTATATTTATTACGTATATATAAATACACAAGCATGCATGTATATATTTCAGAAAAATATGTTGATTATGTATTAAATACATTTATAATATAAATTATATGAATATAAACATATAAATGTAAATATTTTCTATATATATATATATATATATATATATATATATATATATATAAACAAGAGACCAAAAAATGCAGATGAGCTGAAGGCCACTGTCAAAGAAACCTGGGCTTCCATACCACCTCAGCAGTGCCACAAACTGATCACCTCCATGCCACGCCGAATTGAGGCAGTAATTAAAGCAAAAGGAGCCCCTACCAAGTATTGAGTACATGTACAGTAAATGAACATACTTTCCAGAAGGCCAACAATTCATTAAAAATGTTTTTTTTATTGGTCTTATGAAGTATTCTAATTTGTTGAGATAGTGAATTGGTGGGTTTTTGTTAAATGTGAGCCAAAATCATCACAATTAAAAGAACCAAAGACTTAAACTACTTCAGTCTGTGTGCATTGAATTTATTTAATACACGAGTTTCACAATTTGAGTTTAATTACTGAAATAAATTAACTTTTCCACAACATTCTAATTGTCTAATTTATTGAGATGCACCTGTATATATATACAGTATGTGTGTGTATTTATATATAAATAATAAATATAAACAGAACACACACATATATAATGCAAACAAAAACTTTCATTTTGTATGCGATTAATCGTTTGACAGCACTAATATGACCACAATAGGTCAGAACCAAGTTCTTGTGTAGGGTAATGTGTATGGAGTAATGCATTAAAGTAGATAGTGACGTAAACACCAAATGAGACATCCTCCACTTGAAATCTGATCACAAGCAGTCACAGAAGATGCAAGTTTAATATCATCTTTCTTGCCTGACCAATTGTAACTGGATCACAAGACAGAGAGACAGGCCGAAAGGTCTTACAATCTCACACACCTGGAGATCGCAAGAATGAAGTCCAGTGAAACTGCACATTTGTATTTGGGTGAGTCCAGCTGATCATCGTGCCTCACCTGAGAGAGAAGCTGCAGAGTAACTAGAGATGAAATCTGTAAGACAGAAAGCTAACAATGTATTTCTTATGAATTATAATGACTATATTTAAATATTTATAATATCTGAAGTTCAATGGTTATTCAAGCTTCCTGGGCAACAAATTTGAATTTCATAGGAAATTTTATTAGAAAAGTTATTAAAATTTAATAGAGTCACACAGACAGGTAACCTTAAAAACGCGTTTTCAAACAAGTTTTAAATTACACAAGCACTTAAAAAAAAAGAGAGCACTATCTAAAAAAAAAACAACAACAACTCAAGATTCTAAATTTTTTAAGGCCTGGAAGTCACAATTGTAAAATTAGATAATAATTAGATATTAATCAATATATAAAGTTTTTTATTGTGTTATCATTTTTATTGTGTTTTATTATGTTAGTTAGCTGTATTTGTTTTTTCATTATTATTATTATTTAATCAAAACCACCCAACTGCAGTTTGATTGATATTAATTGGAATGCAGGATAAAACATTAAAAAAAAAAAAAACATGATTTTTGAACATTTTTAACTTAAAATTTTTTAACAGAGTTATCTGCTTTTGCAAAGGAACTCTTCATATGCTGTTAATTTATCAAGGAAAACTTATTACCTTTTGAAAAAAAAAAAGGAAAAAAAATTGAAACACTGCCACCCAGTGTCCAAAATTCCTAGATTTGCTTGTGCTGCCACATTGTACATGAATCATGTTTTATTGCCTTATATAAGCTAATTAAAATGAATGGCATAGTTTGTTATTATTTGACAAACCTCATAATTTGATCAATTAAATGACCTGTGAGAAGATACTGGCTGTAGGTGCAACTCTGCAATCAACCACACTGTAGAATATGGCCAACAGTCTGTCAAGAGGAAAAGGCTTCGGTCCCAACAGATGGTTACTAGTCTGCAGCAAAAAGACAAAACAGAGGGAAAAATATATATAGATGACGTTACTAAACCTGCAGGAAGAACAGTGATGAACAATAAGCAACAGTAGCAACTTCTCCCCTTCTCATGTTTCTTCAAGAAATTAGTCTCTTATTTTCCCGTGACTCTGAAGCAAAGACAAGCCTCTTTTTTTAGTGATCACATAATTCACGAAGGTGCAGTCATGATTCAGTAAGATCTCGTGATAGTGTGTAGATAATAAAGAAAAGATCAGAATGCTCCAATACACCTTGAGGAAGAAGCAGCGATCTGTGCGAGCAGAGTTAAAGGAAGCTAGGTAAGCAGCAATCAGGAGAAACTTGGAATAATATGGCAGCTCTATGTGAGCATGTGCTGATAAACCTACAGAAGGAGGAAAAGACTTCTCACTGGACGATATTAGCAAAGGAAATGGATTTCCAAAGATAGAGATAAAATAAAAAAATGACCGTCTACAAACTGATTCTGTTTGCTATTGCCTTTTTTTTAAATTAAGATTTATTAAATGTTTAAGCAGATTTATATCTACTTGTAAAAAATACTGTAGTAACATTACAGGTTCATTTTTCATTTTAGATAATGCTTTAAGTATTATGGACTATCAATTCACTTATGATTATTTATTATGGAAATAATATTTGTGTAGGCTATACACTATGAATATACATTCAGTGTGACGCTTATTTGCATGTTATTTAAAATTCACTTAAAATGCGTAACAGTTTAAATTAATTTCAAATGTAAGTTTAGAGTGCTTTTTGACCCACCTAAGTAGGACTTAAGTACATCTTTATATATAAATTCATAATTCTACTGTCCTTGAAATATGGGTAAGTGTACTGCAGAACTGACAAGCATTTATGCTAAACTAAAATATACTTTAATGTCCTTTCTATTGAAACCTGTAATTAATTTACTTAAATATGTGTAATTACACATTTGTAATGATGAAATTGCAATTTAGTACATCTAAAATATATTAATATAGAATAACATGACAGTTACCAGTATTATAATCAAGTACTTTTAGTGTTTGGTGATATCCTTTTTATAACTTTACAGTATTACAAAGTCCATTTTAAGTGTAATTAAGTGTACGAAACTTTTAAGTACCCTTATGTGACCTTACATTTAATTAATATTACATTATCAGCAAATACACCTTTTTATTATACTTTCAATATGCAATTAAGATCGAATCAAACACACTTATTTTTTATAAGGGTTGTTCAAATCTCTAACCATTAGTATAATAATAACAACAACAATACAGATGATACTGGCCTTAACAAACACACCACTATCAAATTATTGTGAAATATGACTCATCAGGGCAGCCCATCAGCTTATGTGTGGTCAGAGGGTCGATATAAGTAGAAATCTTGGCAGTCTATCCTAGAAAAGCACTGGACCCAGTTTTTAGCAGTCCTATTCACTGCCAGCAGATGGCCAGCAGATGAGGGCATGACTGAGGCCCTGAGACTAAGGCCTGTCTGAACACAAAGAGTGCGTGTGTCTGTCTGTGTACCTCTGAGGGTCGTGGCCTCCTTCTCGTCCATCTGCTGCTGCTCCCATTGCATGCTGATTGAAATAAACCAGGACACACAAACACTCAGAGACAGCACTAACAGACCTGAACACCTCTCGGAGGTAAACCGTCTGCATGGCTCTCTGCAGATGGGGCTCAATAACACACAAACACTCAGAGACAGCACTAACAGACCTGAACACCTCTCAGAGGTAAAACGTCTGCATGGCTCTCTGCAGATGGGGCTCAATGTTTTTCCATAACTTGTGAATATCACTCTCTTTGGCTGAAGGAAGCAAGAAATGATTTCAAACACCGTACTGACACGGTGGAAAAAATGAGTTTATTATATTTAAAGGGGTCATATGATGCGATTTCAATTATTCGCAAGCCCGCCTGCCGCCTCTCACTCTAGCCAGCCATGTGTGACGCTGCGTGTTTCGTTGTGAAAGCGAAACTACTTTGTTTGGTCTTTCAAAAGAGGACACGCCTAGAAATAAGTGGTAAAGTTGTATTTACAACACTGTTCCAGAACAGTTCAACCCAAATATTCAGATGTGTGCAGTGCATTTTATGGAAGACAGTTTCCTGATCCTGGGAGAGTAGACTACAATGCCGGCTGTTCTGACTCACAGAGTGTAAGTACATTTTCATATTTAAAGAATTTGCCACTGATGATTCAAATGTGAGTTTTGAGCAGTGTAGAGTAGCGCTTGTTGTTTGTCATTTCTCCGATCACAAATGAAGACACGATTTTATGTTTACGCGGCGTGATGCAACGCAACGCGTAAAAAGACAGTAGAAGTCATTATAATCCGTATTTATGTCCCCACTGGATGCAACAAATGCCTAGTTTATAATGGGTTTTAATGTTTTTGTCTCATCGCCCCGGCCTGACAGGGCATCACAATATGGTAAGAGGCGTAACATTTCCGTCACACGCTTGAGGTATTCGGCCAATCACAACGCACTGGATAGCTGGCCAATCAGAGCACACCTAGCTTTTCAGACCGATGAGCTTTGTAAAAATCGACGCGTTTCAGA